CACAGAGAAGGCTAGTGGGGATGACCTTTTATGTAAACTTTAGGTAAATTATTGACAAACATGTTCATGAAACAAGAATATCACCAGTCTTGTTTGAAGTCATCATTTCGTAGATTCTACGGTCGATACAATAGCTTATCAGCAAACGCAATTTATCATTGAGCCAAATGCTGACTGACGTTTTTCACATTTATTGTTACTCCATTATAATATACTAAATTGACGACCGATTTTCCGTTATTTCCCGATCATGATAAGGAGCACATGCGGGTGTGAGCGGTCAGCAGGGGATGCACACTCTTCCATGGCGCCTTATCCCATCTCTGAATTTTGGAGGTCCGTGTTTGCTCCTCCTGTTTTGTATTGTTTATGGACTTTTGATCATGAATACGGCTCGCTATATCTCCATATGTTTCATTTCATGCATAAGATTTTGCACAAATTCTGCTTCATATGAATGCAAAAATAGGTCTGTTAGTAACGGAGAGTAATTGGTACTCATATGGATTCTAATCGATTGTTGGAAGATCTGGTCTCCAAAGACCACATAGATATTGTCAATCAGAATCTCAAGCATCTTTTTTTCATGTTTTTTTCAGAGTACTTGTCTGTGCAACTCAGATTAGCATAGTTTTGATTTTTTAATCCTATTTGTATGTGGGTAAAAAAGGAATAATAAACAGTAAGGAATGTCTGAAATAATGGATATCATTCTTACATGTAAATTTGCTGCAATACTTAAAATTCATTATATTCTTTAAATTTCTTGTAAACTTTTTTGTTGGTTATTCAGCCATAGACAGAGACCTTTTATCATTTATCTTTGAGCACGTGGTTTATGATTACATTGTGCAAACAAATTAAAATTAGTTGCATCATATCAAAAATCTCTTACGTAGATAAGATTATATTATCTGTGTAGATTTCCTTGAATAACAGTGTTTGAATAAAAGTTTAACTTTTTACAACTTACTGGACTGAGATGCAACATACACTTAATGTTAACTTCATTTAAATATGACGTTACCTTTTCCCCACAACTACTTTAAAGATATATATGCCGTATTAGTGTTTTATTTTAAAAGAAAAAAATATATGTGGAGTCTCATCAAGTTATATAAGTTATATACTTTCTGCAAATAAGACAATTCCACTCCATCACTTTTAAAAGTTATGAAATATTACTTGGTAATAGTTATTTTCTCTCCGTGTCGGATAAAAAACCGCCTCTTATTGAAATATTCATGATCACGTGGTCTCGCATGTTCACTGCAATCAATGGTCCTATCTTATGAATGAACCGAAAAGCATGATGGTCTACTACATTTTACTACAAATACGTTAGTTAGGGATTGTCAATACGTGAGCGCACCTCAGAGTTGGTTGCTTTTTTGTACCGAGGAATAATCACGTGCAATTGTCTTTTCAATCGGTTGGGTGAACTTCTACAGCTGTCAGCGACTATGGATAAAGACGTGTGGAAACCATGTTGTGCCAAAACGAAATAACTAATACAAACAAATGATATAATTTGATGAATCAAAATGGTTATTAGATACATTCAATTCTGCATTTCTTGACGGTTCAAAAAAAAAAAGTATTCCACAGAATATCATGTATAAAGCTGCACAAAATACCGAATGCCAAAACCAGAATACTACTAAATAATATAAATATATTCTTTACATATGAACCACAGTATTTCTGACCCCTTGAAAATAGTATAAAAAATCTTGCAAGTAGGTTTTCAGCATTGGCTCGGGTTAATTCGAAAGTGAAATTTGGAGTTTGGCAGTAAAGTTAAATAGGGTAATGTTGTAGTGAATGAATAAAATTTAGTAGCGAAAGATATTGGAACCTATTTTACTTGTCAGGTTTCTTCGAGCTAGTCGATTTTTATTCTAACTGTTCTATCCCCCCATCTACTTTTAAAAAAACGCTGCTATCTACCTGAATTAATTTTTCTAAATGGGGTTCATCGAAATGCTTGGTTGTGCCCTCAAACTGGAATAGTTTTTAGTGGCCTGGAATTCCTAGACCAATTTTATTTTATTAGCCCAACTATATATCTAAGAAGGCAAGATGTATGGTATGTAAGTTTCATCTATATATGTTATGTAGTTCATATTAAAAAAAACCTAAGGGATAATTGAAGATATCCCATTCAGGGTGTAAAAATAGCAGTTTAAATTACTTTATATACATTGTACTTGACATAAAATATTTTTGCGCAGTATAGCACGGGGAAACTCTAAACAAACGGATCTGTACAATGGAGTGGGGAAAAATTTTCATCATTGTTAATCATTTGTATGCAAATATGAGCATGGAATTAGTAGATAATAATGTACATAATGCATCAAGTCTTTCCGAGAGCGATTTAAGAAAAACTAGCCTTTTCGAAAAACACATGTAGTATTTCATGTAGTAACCCATAAATGCATTAAATGCAACTCATTGAGCTGACTGGTCTATTTGTGTTCCTCACTGAACAGACGTCACAAAAAATATTTTCCTGGACCTGATGATTCTCGCGATGCTTTTCACGCGCACATGCGAAGATCCAGGATAAATGTCAGTCCTTTATAAATATGCATGAGAATATCGTGTTCTTTTCCCGACCAGTACTTTGTTAATAACGAATAAAATTTCGTCGAATTTGCAAGAATGCTTCATTTTTGATAGCTTATCATACTTCAGAAATTTTTTTTCGGTTTCACCTGTGCAAAAATACTGTTTAACACGGCATACATATCTTTAAAGCGTGGGAAAAGTGTTTTTAAAGTTTTTCATAAATAATTATGACGTAATATTTTCATAAGATGATCCTTTTATGAGACTTAAGCAAGTATAAAATGGAAGTGAAATGGCATATCTTTGAAGATTAAATATACTTTAAAAGTTGGTGAACAATACGTGATTGTCCGGAAATGGTATATACTTAATTTTATGCTGAAATCAAGAAATTGTACAGAATATATGCGTAAAAATAAGTGATTTCGGGAAAGAGAGTTAAATAGGTAAGCCTTCAAATCCACGGGTTTATTTTGTGTCTTATTCCCTTTGTTTATTATATATGCATGAATAAACAGAATATTAGCATTATACTATAGAACACTTCAGCAAAATTAATCAGGTTTAAAAAAGATACAAAATATACTGAGCGCAGTAGATGGGTACAACTTATTCTTATTATTTGTGTCGAATAATTTGCTATGTATGATTGATTGTATATTGTTTAACGTCCCTCTTGAAAATTTTTCAGTCATATAGAGACGTCATCACTTGCCGGTGGAGAGCTGCAAATTTTGTCCTATACTCGGCACTTAAGGCCAATGAGCAGGGAGTGATCTTTTTCGTGCCAGCACCTACTGCGACACGGGACCTCGGTTTATAAGGTCGCATCTGAAAGACCGGTCTCCACGTCCCACAGTGGGATTCGAGCCCGCCACGCAAGGATTGACTCCTTACTTCGCGATTCTAGAACAGACGCTCTAACCACTGCACCACACGCGCGACTAACTAGGGTATGAAACCGTATATTTAGGAACATACAATAAATATAATTATTTCTTCTTATTACCGTTACATGCTAGCAGATGCTCTGAAATTAATTATTTTCTTGGGGAGGTGTTAACTGTCGTTGTGTTCATGAAAAAGATTCACGAATTCATAATACCACAAAATTCAAATTCCTAAAACTTTATAACAGATTTCATTATCCACGAAAAAAATCCAAACAAATTCACATTTTTGTACTTTAATTCTTGAAAAATTGTCCTCACAAAAGTGTGTGATTTTAAAATATTAAAAAACACAATTTACGTAACTTCCATCTCCTATATTGCCAAACAAACTGATAGAGTCTAATTTTGAACATAATTTTTTCAACATAATAATAATCGTACCGATGAATATAACTAAAATATTAGTGATTAAATACGTACAGATGAAACACACAGAAGAACTTTTAGCTTCATATATTTTTTTTTAGCAATCAATACTTCATATACAACAATACAAGCAGCATGTCAAAAGATATCTAATATTCATTTAGTCTTTTTCAGATACAGCTGAAGATATGGACATTAATTTAATGATCTAGTTTTGTCATATTTAAGGAATCACTTTTTAGGTAGTAAAGTATGGTATACTATACTAATTAGGCAGTGGTTTCTTATATTTCCATTATATTTCATTGTGCAAAAAATGTAGATTTAGATTTTAAAAATGTATATTTAGATTTTAAAAATGTTGACTAATAGATTTAAATTATACGAGGCCTCCTGTGACAATTTTAATAGCCATCGCCCACTGACGTCAAACACAAAGACGGCCTGTTTATCATCAGACAAAAAGACAGACGTGTACGAGATTTATTTAAGGAATCACTGTCTAGTTAGTGTAGTATGCCAGGGCATCAAGGATAGTGGGAATAATTAATGCATAATGGCCGTTATGCAAATTATCCCATGTTTCCCACTATTGTTGATGTCCCTGGATACTATAATAACTAGACCGTGATTCCTTATATTTCCATTTCATTGTGAAATAAAATTGTAGATTTAGATTTTAAAATTGTATACATAGATTTAAATTACACGAGGACTCCCAACCAATTCCAATAGTCCCGTATGGCAGCCGTATGAGATTTACATACATCTTTGGCCTCCTTAGCGTCTGACGCATAGACAGGTGCGCATTAGGCCTCCTTAGCTCCTGACCTATCGAGCTGCCTAATTTACATTCCAGTAGAATGATCAAAAAAATCAACTCTGCTAACTTTCAAAGAGCTATTACAGAAGAAAAAAATAGAAATGGAAATATTAGCGCATTAGGCCTCCTTAGGTCCTGAAAAATCTATTTCCTAATTTACATTCCGGAAGAATGATCAAGAAATCAACTTCACTAACTTTAAAAGAGTTATCTCAGAGAAAACAAATAGAAATGAAGTATAACTACCTTGAAAAAAAAAACAAACCTCTATCTTTCTTTCTCATTTACAGAGGTGAATAAAAATGATTCGACTCTCTAACTAACTCAAAACCCACAGCTCGCGTGTCCAGGTATTCATTTGCTGCATCAGAATACCTCTTCTGCACAGTTTTCTTGAGATAGTTACTCTTTTTCGATTGGGCTTTACAACTTTGGGACGACTCATGTGGGTTTTCGCAGATGGAATCATAAATATTTGAAACTCTCTCACTTTGACGTGAGTTAATATTTCCAGTCTGAGGTACTTCGCTGCTGTTGTTCTCTACCTGGCGATTCCTGGAAACTTTCCTCTTAAAAACCATTTGTAATATACTCACTGTTATCAAAAACACAACTGCTACTAAAATAGCAACAAAGAGATAGGTGGATGTTGGGACTTTCGTTGTCAGACGTACATTGTTATTCGGTGTTGAATCTTCCCATTTTGTTACAAGGGTTGAGTTCTCCTCTAAACTTGCACCATAGTTAGCTTTCGTTGTGATGAAATTCTCTCGATTTTTATTTTCTAAATAATAAATCAATAAAGAGTATTGTTTGTTATCTATTTTCTTTTCTTTCTTTTGATGAAGGGGATGTAGAGCTACATATTATCATGCTGCATTTATTTTCACCGGCTACATTATGTACATATACTAGCAAGAAAGCATGTAATAGCGCCTTATTGTGCCTGTGAAGATGCGTCATTTGTAATTCCAGTAAAATGGTAAGCAATATCTACCATTTGCAAAAATATAGTTGTCGACTTTATTTGAGATCATTTGCAATTTGTTCATGACATGTAAGAGAGGAAGTTAAAAAAATCCTATTGTTGAAAAAAATGAGTGCTGTAGGGATAGTACATAAACACGATTTTTAGCCGGGCTTATTGCTCAAAGAGCAATTGCCGGCTTATGTCATCCTGTTCAAGGCAGGAAGTCAACCCCATAGTCGCCATTTTAAAGTTACGTGCAAAAATATAGTTCTTACTCTCAACCGCTTTCGAGATGATACAAACGCTAATAAAGCAACAAAAATAAAACGAAGTTTTATCTATATAAATAAACATTAGTAGTAATGACTTTGAAAACTTCTGTCCTGAGGCAGAGAATATATAGTTCATCAGCGTAAGGATTTTTAATAATCAGTTTTCTACACGAGGTAAAGCAGGGGAGGGAACCAGACTGGCCTGTTTGTTTACATTCAGCTGCGGTACCAGATTAATTCTGATTCTGACAAAATCGGACCGTGGTATTGGGATTGAAAACCTCACTGTCAGTGTCTTATCATTTATATTGATAGTTTTAAAATAATTTTTTCATCAGAATATAAACGTGATTCATGTAAGAAATTCATTCTACTCTGTAAATGAGCCCGGGTTTGATTTAGACTGTGACAATAAATATTAATGGTCAACTATGTGTGGAGTGAGATAATTAACATTTTGGCCTTCCTTAATTTTACAGACAACAGTACATGTATATTTTCATGGTAAGTATGAAGTTTGTTGTAACTTTACCTTTTGTTGCACATCCTAATGTTGGCACACAAAATGGTTTAGAACAGTCGCATGTTTCTTTACATCCCTTTCCATAGCTTGGATATGGGCAAAGCTGCGAACAGTTCAACCCAAAATAACCTTCGAGACAGACTAAAATAAATACAATAATATGCATTATGTATGAATGTGTAATTTGAAAACGTTTTATTAAAAGGCATTTTTTTTTCATTTTATATTTACTTATTCTCTTTGTCAAAATTAAGCAGAGTGTGTAAAATTGCTGCTTGTTTTACTTTTGAGGATGCTCAGTATCAAAAACCTATTATTATCAACCTTCACAATTTTGTGTATTGTCATTCCAGTAATATCCGATACAGCAGGACCCTGTATGCCTGTAAATATATTGCTGCTATTTAAACCATAAAAATTGTATATTGAAAATATCATAAGCTCAACTATTTTTAAAAACATTAAAATCATGTAAAAATTATTATTATTCCTCATTATAAATATTTTACACAACGCGTTATCTGATTTGTTCTAGGTTATCACGTGATCGGGCCGTAAAACTTCATATTTCACGGCCGTCGGCACGCTTTTCATCATATTCCAACACTTCGGGACACCTAGTGTATTTTCCCGCAATATAGTTCTCGTTCGTTGAACGAAAGCTCCCGAGAGTAGTAGACGTTACAATAGCCTGGTTTACGTCACAAAATTGTTGAAAATGTGTTGACCAAAGGGTTTTAGTACTAACTTAACGTAAAAAAATGAAAGTGAATTTGAGAGCGGTGCCGAATTTAAAAGTTTATGTTATTTCAAAGGTTTTGCTTGTTTCGGTATGATAAACAATTCATTGCATGAATCTTCATTGCATGAATGTTCGAGAAACATGAAGACTTATTCAGTCAAGAAATATCATATTCCCCTCGCGCGAAGCCCTCGGGGGAAAATGATTTTTCTTGGCTGAATAAGTCTTTATATTTCCCCCACTATCATGCAATAAATGTATAATATCTAATAAGTTATACCTGTAACAATCTCCTTTGATGACATGTGCATAAATTACCGTTACAATACAAACACGAAGTGTGTTTGACAATTCCATCTGAAGCGTATCTACATTGTAGGTTAATAAAAGTTTGATGAACTTAACAAATTTAATCGTTGAATTGGT